TCTGATCGCCTTCCTGGCAGCGGTGGTCAGAGCAGCTCTCTCTGTATCTGGGGGGATGTCAAGAACAGAATCAGGAAATGCGACAGCGAGAATTAAGTTCTCTTTGGCAAAACAGGAAGCCTGATCGGAACTTGGGCTGTTTTCCCTGAGGCCTGTTTTGTTCTTTCTCAGCTCAGTCCGATAACTTCTGAGCAACTACAGGAATATCTGCTTTCCCACCCACACCTTGAGAGGCCCCCCTGGGCTCCCCCTGACCCAGACCCCTTCGCAGTGAGGCACTCCGGTAACTGTGGCCACAGACGGATGACTGGTAATGGACTCTCTTCCTTCACAAAGCATTCTGGGGCCTCAGTCCTTAAGGCAGATGCCATGTTATTACTTGTATCAAGACTTGCTACCATGTCCAGAGAAGTGGTTGAGACAAGCCATGAGAGAGAGTAAAAGACCAATGATTAAACATGACACCATCTGTCCCAAACATGTGGGTTCTGCACTCTCTCCAAGGTACTTCTAACTGCTGAGGGCTTAGAATTTCAATTTCAAGTGTCATTTCCTACCTGAACACTTAAGAGTGTTGGACACATTCAATACTTCCTACCAAGTGTTATATGAAATCTTAGAGATCAGAGTAGGACATTTTATAAGTTCTAAAGTATCTTCTTTTAAAATGCTGGAAGGGCCCCCACACCCCTGTATGATGTTCTTCTCCTAAGAAGCTCTCTGGCAAGCAAGCTGCATTCTCCAAAGTCAGCAGGGAAAAGGGGTGGTGGTTTGTGCATGGGCTCCCTTGGGGGCAGAGTTCCTGGCATGGGATGGAGGGTCCCATCTGGAGGGTGGGCTGGGCCTGCAGAAAGGACCAGTCTCCAGCTCCTGTGGCCCACTCCCCCGACAGCGAGACCTCTGTCTCTCTGACCCAGACAGGCTCTTCTCTCTGGCCTGTCTTTGCTTCATTTACTTTCAATTTCCTGTGGTTGGGTGAAGAGGAGGAGGTGGGGGAGGAGGCAGGGGCTGACTTCAGGTGTGGAGACCACCGTTCCTGGGGAAGCAGCCTGGGAGCCATGGCCTCCTGATGCACAAGAACACCAGACAGCACTTAGCACTAGGCTTGGGGGCCACCTAATACAGTGAAATCATCAACCAATGGGGTGCCTGGGTGGCTCTGTTGGTGAGCATCCGGCTCTTGATTTCAGCTCAGGTCATGATCTCAGGGTCGAGGGATGGAGCCCTACATGGGGCTCCCAGCTGGGTGTGGAGCCTGCTGAGATCATCTCTCCTTCTGCACGCGCCCTCTCTCACATAAATAAATAAATAAATAAATAAATAAATAAATAAATAAATATCTTTATAAAAAAGTATAAAAAAAGAAATCATCAACAAAACACAAAAACATGAGAAACAGCACTAAATAGACCACAAAAATGGTACTCATTCATGGTATAAGCTGAAACAGGGAGGCAGAGCGTCCCCTTGCTCTCTATTAGATGGGACCATGACGCCAAATAAGTCAAATTTTATACTGTTCTGTACCTGCCATTCAGTGACCATGAAAACACTTCAAAGTATTAATTTTGGGGTTACAAATGAACTTTGGCAAGTAGATGAATTTGCAAATATAGAACCCATGAAGAATGAGGATTCACCATAGCATTATTTTACTAGATTCCATTTTACTCTTTGCATTGTGTGTGGGGGGGTTCACACCTTCAATACACTTTGTGCAGTATTTTTTAAGAACCTAAGCTTGGCTCAGAAGGTACAAGTAGTGAAAAAGCCCAAACCACATTCTTAAACGTTTGGTATACATTTCCAAGTAAAATTTCTATTTTTAAAAAGATTTTATTTATTCATTCATGAGAGACAGAGAGAGAGGCAGAGACACAGGCAGAGGGAAAAGCAGGCTCCCCGCAGGGAGCTGATGGCGGACTTGATCCTGGGAACCTGGATCACGCCCTTAGCCAAAGGCAGATGCTCAACCGCTGAACTACCCAGGCATCCCTCCAAGTAAATTTCTTACACCTAAGTAAAGGCTGAAATATAGGAAATTGTCCTTTTTAGGTTAAAAGTAGTTAGAAATTGTCAGATTTATATGGTTCAGCTTCATATATTCTTGGGAAGCTTTCTGTCCATTACCAGAGAGATCAATCTGTTACCTCTTTTTGCATGTGGAAAGCTAAAAGTACTATATACTTCAAAAGAAAGTCTTTACAGAATGTATAGATGTACTTACTCTGTTATTAAATAGAAGCATAGAGATTCATCTTATAGGAGATATTTATCATCTATTTTCTGATCTTTTAAAATTAAGGACACAAAGATCTCACACCTTAGTATAAATAGGCCAAATGTAAGTATTTTCTGCCCAAAACATGCTGAGCATTGGACAGTTTTATCTGAGCAAGTATATGATTTGCTTTTTAAGGGTTCTTATCATATCTGTATTTATCTAACTGAGATTAGATAAAATCTCTACCAAAGGCAGTACAACGGATAATAAAAGTCCTTGAGATTCACCTTTTAATTGCCAGATTTTAGTAATCCAGGTGATATAATGAAGCAAAATAACAGACATTTTCATTATGATCTTGCCAAACTCAAAAGCAAAACCTATCACTTGACCTTAGTATAGTATGATTATGGAAAGCTCCAAGATACTCTGAAATTCGTATTGTATAGGTAGCACTAATTTTTAATCTCTCTTTAAAAGATCCATGGTGGATAACAAAAAACCCCCACACTACTTCCCCATGTGCTAGCATCCATTCACTAAGAACCAACCAGAGAATAGTAAACAGTTGTTCAAAGTTTGCAGTGTTTATGCAAAACTGGAAAGATGAGTTGGATTAGCTATTCCTCCTGTAAGTAGGGTTTCACTCTTTCAGATTCTCGGTTGGAAGATAAACTGAGTAAATAAGTGTGCTCACAAGTAAATAGCCTCTGCTATCCCACTTGAGATCATTTGAGGTATATCTAGTCTCATTTAACCATTTAAGTAGGTGTTATGCCTTAATGATATCAGACTGGGAGAGAGCTGTTTCTTAGTGCCACATGGTGAGTGGCAAGCCTGAAATCAGAGCACAGAACTGTCTGCCCCAAAGCCTGTCCTTCTCTTTCCTGACTCCTTGTAGGTGAAGGTATTTTGAGAACTTCACTCTTAGGAAGGAGATGTCCAGTTTAGAACTGAAACCTTCACTACCTGTTAAGATTCCTAAATCAGCCCCAGTATTCTACTCCTGGCAACAGGCCTGATGCATTTGTTGCCCTGGATGTCAGGGCTGTAGCACTGGTTTTTGGTCTGAAGTAGTGGACCCTGGGTCTGCAGTACTAGATGTCCGGGAGGCAGTGTGGGGCTCAGGTCTGCAGTACTAGGTGCCGGGTCTGCAGTACTAGATGCCAGGGCTGCAGTCTGGGTGCTGGGGCTGCAGGGAGAGGCTCAGGTCTGCAGTACTGGGTATCGGGGCTGCAGGGAGGGGCTCAGGTCTGCAGTGTGGGGCTCAGATCTGCAGTACTAGGTGCTGGATCTGCAGTACCAGATGCCAGGGCTGTAGTCTGGGTGCTGGGGCTGCAGTGTGGGGCTCTGGTCTGCAGTGCTGGGTGCAGGATCTACAGTACTAGATGCCAGGGCTGCAGTCTGGGTGCTGGGGCTGCAGTGTGGGGCTCCAGTCTGCAGTACTAGGTGCGGGATCTGTAGTACTAGATGCCAGGGCTGCAGTCTGGGTGCTGGGGCTGCAGGGAGGGGCTCAGGTCTGCAGTACTAGGTGCTGGATCTGCAGTAATAGGTGCCAGGGCTGTAGTCTGGGTGCTGGGGCTGCAGTGTGGGGCTCCGGTCTGCAGTACTAGGTGCGGGATCTGTAGTACTAGATGCCAGGGCTGCAGTCTGGGTGCTGGGGCTGCAGGGAGGGGCTCAGGTCTGCAGTACTAGGTGCTGGATCTGCAGTACTAGGTGCCAGGGCTGTAGTCTGGGTGCTGGGGCTGCAGTGTGGGGCTCCGGTCTGCAGTACTAGGTGCTGGATCTGCAGTACTAGGTGCCAGGGCTGTAGTCTGGGTGCTGGGACTGCAGTGTGGGGCTCAGGTCTGCAGTGCTGGGGGCAGGATCTGCAGTACTAGATGCCAGGGCGGCAGTCTGGGTGCTGGGGCTGCAGGGAGGGGCTCAGGTCTGACAGCACTGGGTGCTGTGGCTGCAGGGAGGGGCTCAGGTCTGACAGCACTGGGTGTGGGAGCTGCAGGGAGGGGCTCAGGTCTGCAGTGTGGGGCTCCAGTCTGCAGTACTAGGTGCTGGATCTGCAGTACCAGATGCCAGGGCTGTAGTCTGGGTGCTGGGACTGCAGTGTGGGGCTCAGGTCTGCAGTGCTGGGGGCAGGATCTGCAGTACTAGATGCCAGGGCGGCAGTCTGGGTGCTGGGGCTGCAGGGAGGGGCTCAGGTCTGACAGCACTGGGTGCTGTGGCTGCAGGGAGGGGCTCAGGTCTGACAGCACTGGGTGTGGGAGCTGCAGGGAGGGGCTCAGGTCTGCAGTGTGGGGCTCCAGTCTGCAGTACTAGGTGCTGGATCTGCAGTACCAGATGCCAGGGCTGTAGTCTGGGTGCTGGGGCTGCAGGGAGGTGCTCATGTCTGCAGTCTGGGAGCTGGGGCTGCAGGGAGGGGCTCATGTCTGCAGTGCTGGGTGCCGGACCTGCAGTCCTGGGTGCTGGGTGCGGCAGTCCTGGCGGCCCCGGGCTGCGGTGTGGGGTCGGGTCTGGAGCACCGGCCGTGGGTCTGCGGCACAGAGCGTGGGGTACACGCGGGAGGACCTGGGTCGGTGGGTGTATTCATCCGACGTCCCTGGCCGAGCCACCGCCGAGCCCCGACTCCAGGAGACAGGAGGCAGCGCCCGCCGCAGCGGGAGCCCCGGGACTGGAAGCACAGCGCCCGCCGGCGCAGACCCGGGCCCGAGGGGCCCAGCGCGCAGGCGCGAGCTGCGGGGACGCGCCGGAAGCGGCGGGCCGGATGTCCGGTCGCGTGGGGTTCCGGGTTCGGGGTTCCGGGAGGCCGCGGGGGTCCGGCGAGCGGGGCCGCCAGTGCGGCGGGAAGCGGGGCCATGGAGAAGCTGCGGCGGGTCCTGAGCGGCCAGGACGACGAGGAGCAGGGCCTGACCGCGCAGGTAGCGGTCCGCGGCGGGCCGGGGGGGCCGCGGGGGCCGGGCGGGCGCCCACCTGTCACCTCGGGGGCGGAGGGAGGGCTCCCCGCCTCGCGGGGAGAATCTGGAGGAGCTTCCCGGGTTTTCGTGGGGTCTCCGAAGCCTTGAGTCCGCCTCACGGCTCGCTTGGGCCTGCCGACCCTCGGGGACCGCCGAGCTCTCCCGGGTGTTCTGCGCGGGGCTCTGCACCCGGGGCGGGGGCAACACGGGCGGGGGGCAGCGGGGGCTGAGGGGGGTGGGGCGGGGGCAGGCCTGCAGGGGGGGAGGCGCCCCGGGGCTGGGGCGGGGGCAGGCCTGCAGGGGGCAGCGGGGGCTGAGGGGGGTGGGGCGGGGGCAGGCCTGCAGGGGGGGAGGCGCCCCGGGGCTGGGGCGGGGGCAGGCCTGCAGGGGGCAGCGGGGGCTGAGGGGGGTGGGGCGGGGGCAGGCCTGCAGGGGGCAGCGCCCGGGGGGTGGGCGGCGGCTCTGTCCTGCGAGCTGCGGGGAGAGCCGAGGCCGAGGTCTAGCTTGGTTGCGGAGGCTTGCCCCGGGAGGCGGACGAGGCGCGTTCAGGGGTTTGTCCCCCCGAGGTGGACGAGGTGCTGTGAGTGCGCATTGGTCCTTTGGAAGTAGGGAGACCGGAGCGGGGGCGGGGCAGGTCACTGGGAAGTGAAAGAAACGGAGTTAAAAGTCGCCTATTAAGGCATTGAGTCCCTGGTAAAAGATTCACAGCCAAACAAAAGCATCTTTTTGCCTCTGTGCTTTACCCGGAGGCCTGGTGAAGGTTACTCTCTCTAGTGGAAGAATCAGAAATATCCCCCGCGCGGGAACTGCGGTGTTTCCGGTGTGTGCCTGCGGACTAGTTCTTTTCTGCGGGCCCAGGAGTGCAGCGCCTAGCGCCCAGAGTGCCGCAGAAGGGTCTTTTGTTTGACCCTTTTCTACCTGACTCCCTCCCTTGTTCTGTTTGTTCGGCCCTTTTTGGGGGCAAGAGTCTAGGCTAGTGTGTGAGGATCCAGAGTCTACAAGACAAGCATCTGCTCTCAGGGGACGCCATAAGCAGTTTGGCAGATCGTAATATAGAAATCCACAAATAGGGGATCCCTGGGTGGCTCAGGGGTGTAGCACCTGCCTTTGGTCCAGGGTGTGATCCTGGGGTCCCAGGATCGCGTTCCGCATGGAGCCTGCTTCTCCCTCTGCCTGTGCCTCTGCCTTTCTCTCTCTGTGCCTCTCATGAATAAATAAATAAAATCTTAAAAAAAAAAATCCACAAATAGAGGAGTGTGAGAGATGTCAGGAGGGCAGTACAGGCTCCCCCCACCCAGAGTCATTCTGCTGTGCTCCACTCCATGCTCCAGCGCTGTGCTGTACCCTGCGGGATTCATAGCCACATGTGGCTACTTACATTTAAAGTATTAAAAATTAAATAAGATTTGGGCACCTGGGTAGCTGTCGGTTAAGTGGCTGACTTCAGTGCAGATCATGGTCTCAGGGTCCTGGGATCGAGCTCCCCCCCATCAGGCTCCACACTTAGCAGGGAGTGTGCTTCTCCCTCCCCCCGGCTGGTGCATGCTCTCTCCCTCCTTCCCTCAAATAGTAAATAAAATCTTTTCAAATAAACAAAATCTTTTTAAGAAATTAAATACTATTTAAAAATCGTTTCTCAGTCACACCAGCCACATTTCAGGTGCTTAGTAGGCACACGTGTTGTGTTTTTAAGGATTTTATTTACTTGACAGAAACCAGCGGTGGGAAGGGGCAGAGGGAGAGAGAGGGGGAGTAGCTGACTCTCTGCTGAGCTGGAAGCCCGATGTGGGGCTTGATCCCAGGATCTGGACAGCATGACATGAGCCAAAGGTAGACACTTGACCGGATTGAGCCACCTAGGCACCCCAGGTGGGCGCAGGTGTTAGTGGTTGCTGCATAGGACAGTATATGAATGGGACATTTCATGGCAGGCAGTTCAGTGGTACTGAGCTTCTCTGAACCTTGGGTACATGAAGGTGATAGTGTCACTTTTCTTGAGCCCACAGACTACAGGGGGGAAAGATGTTGAGAATAGTCCAGAAAAGGGCGAAGCTGATGATACAGGCAAGAGACAGGATCATTGCTGGGGTGCCATCCAGGCGTGGTTGGGAAGATCCCAGGAGGTGGGATATGGTGCACAAGAGAAGGGACCAGCCTGGCTTGGGCACATGGATGGCCAGCTCGTGTGGGCTCCAGGTGCCGTTGGAGCACAGGAGGATTCTCCCATGACTCCTTAGCCGTCCTCACAGAAATGGGAAATAGGGTTGCCAGTTGGAAGTTGGAGGGGGAGTGAGTGTTGACGTTCCAGAAGAAGATGTGGAGGTTGTTTAAGAGAACAGGCGAGTGAATGGATGGGGGGCAACAGTGGGATTGTTGGCAGCACCAAGGCCCTGATGGTCCTGGATTTGAGGTGGGAGTCCTGAGCAGCAGCAGCAGCAGGAGGGCAGGGCAGGGCTGGGAGCTGGATTTAAGCGGGGTTTGGATGTTGCCCAGTGAATGCATTAGAGGGACACAGTGCAGAGAAGTGGGGGATGTACGTAGGAGTGCTTGTAGGAGGGCGGCAGGAGTGGGGGGTGTAGAGGGATGGGTAACTAGGGATGGTGGAGGGTAGGAAGGGGTGGTCGAAAAGGGGGATACTTAAAATTGAGACCATGGAGAGTATTGAGATTATGGTGCCCTTATTACCGCAGATAAGGGGCTTGGTGGCTGACGTAGGGTGCAGAGACCATTGGAGGAGAGAGGATGAAGAAGCAGGAATCATAGAGCTCTGGAAGGCTTGCTTACTCCAGTGATGAAATCCCCAACAGTTAAGAGGGGAGTGGAGGCATGATAGTGAGCCCCTTGCACAATCCTTAGAAGAGCAAGAGTTGTGATGTGGGGGCGGGGGGCAGTGATGGGGTGACCCAGGAGATGATAGTGACAGCAGTGAGGAGGAGCAGCAGGTGGCCTAGTGTGAGGGCAGGATCTTGCAGGCAGGTGTTTCTGGGGCTGAGAAGATGGGGAACCGCAGTGAGGAGCGGCCTTCACCTGGCCCACTTCCTGTCCCCCCTGGGCAGGGGGGTGACGAGCAGTGTGGTGGTGTTGGGGGTGCATCTGAGATCCGGGACTGCTCTGTCACCCTGCTGAGGGGGTTTGGAGGCCAGGGAAGAGGCAGAGTAGCCAGAGTTGTAGGGTCCCTCCTTGCGAGGTGTCTGGGAAAATGGAAGGAGGGCAAGATGGAACCAGGTGTGAGAGGGTCCAGATCAATCACACAGCTTCTTGTAGGGCTGGTGTAAGATCCAGACTCTTCCCCAGGCGCCTCAGTTCTCTGCACACCTCCCCACCTCACCTGTCCCCCAGGACCACTGTGCTCTGCTCAGCTTCCTCTGCCTCTGCCATTTCTTTTTTTCTGGGATGCTCTAACCTGGCTCCCAGGGTTTGCCCACATAGCCTTAACCTGCGTGGGCCCTTTCTCTCTGGGACCCGCAAGGGTGACAAGACCATTTCTGGTACGTGAGATGAGGACGTGGATCAGGAGGGAGGTTGGTGTAATGGGGATGAGAGGGGCTTTCTTCCTCTGATGTTTCTCCTCATTTTCTCCTGGTCTCTGAGGCACCTCCTCACAGGCGTTTAGCAAGACTCCCAACCCAGCTGAAGTAGCACTGCCCTTCTTGCCCTCCATCCTTGGATCTGCTTGATTCCTCCCTAGAGCACACCCTACGCCTGATGTTCTAGCATGTGGGCATTTACTGATTTGTGGGCAGCCACCTTATCGCGTTGACAGCTGTGTCACCAGTATTGAGCTCAGGTGCTGAGCAGTCAGGGTCAGAGTGGCCCATTGAAGCAATAGGCTGGGGTGCCTAGGTGGCCTAGTCCACTAAGCGTCTGACTTTGGCTTAAGTTGGGATGGAGCCCTGTGTAATGATCCCTGCTCTTCCCCCCACTCGTGCGCTCACTCTCTTTCTTTCAAGTAAATAAGTAAGTAAAATCTTAAAAAAAAAAAGGAAGGGGCAGTAGGCCAAACTGGCAGGGCAAATTGTGCCTCAGATCACTTTCTGTGGCTTTAAAAAAAAAAAAAATCACTTTCTGTGGCAGTAGCAGCAAGAGGCTGGAAGCCAGGAAGGGCCGGCTTCCCTCTGTGCTGTTTTCACGCCATGGACTGGGCGCTCGTTGGTGGTCTGCTCCTTGTCCAGGGAACCCCAAACCAGAGGCTTGGGCAGTTTTACAGAGCCTGATGTCAGGGAGGAGGGTGTGTGGAGGGCCAGACGCCTCAGGCAGCACATAGAACAGGCATTAAAGATTGCTCAGCAGTATTTGCTGAATGAATGAATGAGCAGAGGCTGGAGAGTGAAATAAGTGAGCTGCTGCTTCAAGCTGAAAGAGGCATACTCATGTGTTCAGGTTGATGGGAGTGGTCTCAGGGACAGAACATGGGTCACTTTCGAGAAGGGTCAGAAGCTGATACTGCAGGTTTCCTGAGAAGGCTGAGGGGTGGGGCTCTGAAGCACAGTGGGTTGACCTCAGCCCTTCTGTGGTCATCTGAGAAGGAAGAGAAGGTATTCTTGAGGGAGCCTTGGGGGCTCGGTAGCAGCAAGCAGTGGAGGGAGGGCATGTTGATGGTTTCTGTTTTCTCTGTGAAAGAGGGGAAGTTATCTGTACGGTAGAAGTGTCACAGCAACACTTGCAGGGTTGAAATCATCTGTGGTCAGTAGAGTGCGAAGGCACATTGACTTCACAGTGCCTGTCAGTCCGCCATGTCAGGTGGCCAGGCGGGCGGCATCGGGGCCCACTGGGAGGTGCTGATGGCCTGGGTGCGATCCCCCCGCCTTGCCACATGACTGCTCAGAGGAAGAGGAAGCAGGCTTGATGGTGGCATTTTGCCAGATGGAAGCAGCAGAAAGGGAATTTTAACTGTCTTACTGAGCTGGTGGGCTGGACGAGCGTGCCACCTGGAGGACTTTGGGGTTCAAGAGCAGCGACTTGAAGTTTGGATATGGAGAGATTTTGGGCCATGAGAGCGTCCTGGGTCACTTGGTGGAGTGGAGGGCACGGGCCACTGAGATTAGGGGTTGAGGAACAGAAAGTCCGGGCAATATATGATTATCCAAGGCTCCCCTGGGATCCCATGCAGGACCTGTGGTCAGGGGCCCCTAGTGAGAGAGAAGGACAGGGGGAGCTGTCGGTGCCAGGAGTAAGGTGGGCCTGCTAGTCACGGAGGAGACTGAGTCAGGAGCCGGGACCCGAGAAGGCAATGCTGACCTCCCTTGAGAGCGTCTGTGGACACCTGTTCCCCATGCTTGCTGTCGCTCTGGTGGCCCTCCTCCTGCCCACCATCATTTGAAGGAGGACTGGTGGGAGTCCCGCACTCAGGGTGCTCGTTCAGGTGGTAGTCACCCTGGAGCAGGGCTCAGGCCAAGACAGCCGGCCCCTTCGTGATCGTGTGGCTCTGCTCCTGGCTTCTCCATCACTAGGAGAGAGGCGAGTGTCCCCAGGGCCTCGACTTCATTCTTTGACCTGTAATGCTGCTGCCGCTGGGAGATGTTTTCCGACTACTTTCTCTAAATCAGCAAAATCCGGGTTCCGGGTAGTGGTTTGCTGTGGTGGAAGAGTCTCCTGCTCATGAGATGCTTTCTCTTTGCTTCCTCTTCCTTTGTTTGGTTTCTCTAATTATTTTTACAGATTTTTATTTATTTGGAGAGAGAGAGTGCTCTGGGGGAGGGATGGAAGCAGAGGCAGAGAGAGAATCACAAGCAGGCCCCCTGCTGAATGGAGACCAATGTGGGGCTGGATGTCATGATCCCGAGATCATGACTGGAGCCAAAATCAAGAGTCCGATGCTTAATCCACTGAGCCAGCCAAGTGCCCGGGTTCCTCTTCCTTTGATAACAAATATGTCAAGTAATTGGTACCCATGTCCCTGTGTATTTCTTTTCAGAGACTATCTTTAAGAAATCAGTATGGTTGCTGGTTCTGCTGGGCTTGTTCCTGATCGCGCTTGGACCAGAAAGTAGCACCTGAGTGCTTCTGAAGCGAGTCTGGAGGATCAGGGCCCCTTCTGGCTCCTTTGTGGGGAATGCAGCGCCAAGTTTTCTTGCATGTTTTCCAGATAAGGCACCAGGGAATCCGTAATTTGTTTCTGTAGTCTGGACAGTTGGCAAAGCTGAAGACAAGTCATTTGCTTGTGGGTTGAATATTCTATATTTTCAAATGCAAATAACTTGTTTCATTTTAAAGATCGTCACTTGGAAGATGGTAATAAGGGGAAAATACCTAATATGTAAATAATCGTGCTAAGAGTGAACTGGCTGTTGAAAACCAGCATCTGAACTTAGGAATGGTGGGGTGGTTTAAACTTGTGAATGGAAAGCAGAAGTGACCTGTCCCCACACCCCCGTGTCCTCTGGCTGCAGGTTAGAAGAGGCTTCCGTGGATGCTGCTCTGTAGCCCATCTCCCATGCAGTGAGTGGTCTTTGGGGTTCATGCTGCTCTGTGTAGTTGAAACACACTTCCTGGCCACACTTCCTACTCAGAAAGGATGGTACTTGGGTGTTTTCAAAGACAAGTCCATTCTTGGTTTAAATGGAGCTGTGGTTTTGCTATAAACAGGTGACATTGCTGGAAATCAGAATGTGAGTTAAAGCAAATTTAAAACATTTAAAATGTGTTAAGTGATATATGTTGCATTTACAACCTTATCTTGTCTTTATCTACTTTTCATGCCGCATAAGGATTCCCAGGTTAATCAGTTGAGGTAAGGAATGTAGCAAGAGGTATTTTTGAGCTTTTGCATAGGAATTTTCTGCTTTTGCTTTATTATTCTTGAAAATACATTATAAGCATGTGAACTTATTTTTAAGTATCTATGGTAATGTAAGTTAGAAATTAAATTGTGATATATAAATTCCTAATATATATCTCTAGTTTCCCAAAATAGCGTTGTTGATACTTTTTCAGCTTTGTTGGGAAATGAGTATCCTTAGGAATCTGCATGTGTCCATTGCTCAGTCTGGGTTACTGTGTAAGGCATGCCTGGTGATTACCACTCTTCCCCCACCTAAGTTGGTTACAGTTTGCATATAGGAGTGCCGTTGCTCTAGCATAAATGATCATTTAAAAAAATGTGTTTTTAATAATGGTGGAGAGGTACCTAGGGCTCTCCTGAGTTGGTTTTAAATGAACCTTTTATAATGAATGGAAGTTACGTATCCAGTGGCAGACACTACTGGTGGCTGCCCAGGTCCCCGCTGTGAAGCGGGTGTATGCGTCCCCCAGCGACTCACAGCTGTGCCCTCCAGCACACCTTGGCGGTCCTGCGGTCACCCCCACTTTGCCTACAGCCTGTGGCCAGCCGATGGGAGGTGGGTTCCAGACAGTGGCCTTCCCAGGCCCAAGCTGAATGCCGGCTGAAACCACATCATCCTCTCCCTTCCCTGGCAGCTCCCGTCACTTCCCTCAGGGTTTCTGCTGAGAACAGCAAGTGCATCAGAACCCCTGTTTCGGGCTCTGCACTTGGAGACCTCTCCTGTGCCCAGAACCCAGCTTCAGCGTTGGTCCACATCTTGCTTGTCTTGTTTCATCTTTCCCCTATTTTTTTTTATTTTAGTTATTGAGTGTTTTATAATGTGTAACATATGTTCTGTCATTTCATGGGTGTCGGGATACGTCTGCTATCCTGCTAAGGGCTGTAAAAACCAAGCGCACAGTGCCATGGGTGCACCCATCCGCCCCCCGCCTTAAGTTTCCCTTCATGGTCCCCGGGGTCTTGCCCTTCTCACTGACCTGCAGCAGGCACGAGCCAACGGGCCCCGCGTCCAGGGTCTGGGGAGGCTTTGCCTCCTTCACTGTGAAGAGTCAGGCTGCACTAAGCAGCCGAAGGACATGTTCTGCTTCCCCTTCCTTCCTAAGGTCCTGGACGCCTCGTCCCTCAGCTTCAACACCAGGCTGAAGTGGTTCGTCATCTGCTTCGTCTGCGGCATTTTCTTCTCCATCCTTGTGAGTTACGGGTTTCTGCTGCCTAATGATTTTTATTTTAGGCCAGGCTAACGTCATTTAGTTACAACAAGCAGCCTGCAGTCTAGACCACCCGCAAGACTGTTCCCTGTTTCCATGGAACACGGAGATCAATGCAGAGATGCAGAAATTAGTATTTGAGGGGAGTTTATGGATTGTGAAAATATATATATATTTAAGAAAAATCAGTGTGTATAGAAAGCTTCAGAGACAGGAACTGAGATACGTTAACTACCTTATGTAACTTGTCATTTGTAAAGAGCATTGATTTAAGGAGAGTGAGATGATTTACACATGTGTTATGGCTCAGTTAGATATACACAGAATAGGCAGAAGAGTTCAATTAGCAAATAACAATGAAAACTGTTTTACAAAACGATATAATTAAAGACTATGTACTAGCATATTGATACTTAAACTGTACATTGTTATATAATCATATTCCCTTTGTAGCATTTTTATATTTTAAGCTATCACAATGGTAAAATTATTTCAAAATATATCTTCACTCAGGGGACTGGATTACTGTGGCTTCCTGGTGGCATAAAGCTTTTTGCAGTGTTTTATACTCTTGGGAATCTCTCTGCATTAGCCAGGTGTGTATACCAGTCTGGCTCCTCGGGGTGTTAGGTTTGCTGGCACCGTCAGCAGCCGTCCTTGCCATAAACACCTCCCCAATAGCAAGGCTTCTAGAGCCACATTTCTGTTCATTCAGTAAGTGTGCATCGACTTACGCTGAGTGCTGGGGCGCACTGTCGCGGGGAGGGTAGGGGTTGCTAAGTGCTCCTGTCACTCCAGTATAAGAGGTGGGCACTGTGATCACCCCCACCCTGTGGCCGAGCGGAGTAGCACAGAGAGGGTGAGTCACTACCCTGGGATGAGCCCCATTAGGTGACCGGCAGGCTTTCCACCAGATAGTCCTCTGGAGCCATGGCTCATGGCTGCTGTGCTCTGCTCCCTACTTGGGAAGCCCGTCTCAGGGAGAGGAGTCGACTGCTGCCCACCAGCTAGGAGCCCCCACGGTAGTGGTGCTGAGCAGAGAAGTCGGGGGTGAGGAGCACCAGTGAGCCCAGTAGCATTTTGGGTTGGTGCCCCGGAATTCCTCTGAGGATCTTGGTGCACATTTGAGCCTGTTGGTTTCTGTTAAGTAGTTGTCATATGTATGAGTTTTGCATTTGTATACATTGAGCTTTCAGAGGTGACCTTCTGTCTCTGGAATTTTCTGGATCAAGGTAGTCAAGTGAACCTTCGTGAGCCAAGGCCAAGCTCAGTGGGCTTTTCTGTGCTCGTCCCTATAGTGCTGCTCCTTGGGGCTACAGTCCGAACAAAGCCCAACCCGGCAGTTTTATGTTGTGTCACTGTTGGGGGCTTCACACTGTTACGTGGGAGTCGTTTATCATTGCTCTGGTCTGTAGCGTGCAGAGGTGAGGAGTGGTAGTGATTGGACTGGCACAGATGGGGAGCGAGTCACCTGTGAGTTCAGGACGGCTTCGACCATCCTGATCACCTGTAGCTTTGAAATAACACTATGAATAATTTGTGAAAAGGCATTTGTGTGTCCTAGAACACTAAGGGCTCCTGGCTCTCTCAGTCGGTAAAACACTTGACTCTTGATTTCAGGGTCATGAGTTCAAGCCCCATGTTGGGCCTAGAGCTTAGTTAAGAAAAAAAAATAAAATAACAAGGTCTTTAAAAAAAAGTTTGCTTTTAATATTAAGGAAAAATAGAACTGATTTAGTGAGAGATTTTTATTCGTAAATCAGATTTTTTTTGTAAAAGCATTTATGTTTAGATAGCCAATTAGTAGATTCATCTCTTCCTTCTGTTTGTTTCAAATAGTACTTGCTTTTTTTTTTAAGTACGTGCTTTTTAATGGGACCTATGAAGCAACTGAAGAAAATGTTTGAAACAACAAGATTGCTTGCAACAGTTATTATGCTTGTAAGTAAATAATGAAAATTAAAACTTAGAGCAGTGTTTTTGCATTATTATCTTACAGATAATTGCCCGCTCTTATGTACGTGCTATTATATCTTGTGCTGCATGTAATCATATCCTTAAGGCTGTGTGTTTAGAGAATTTAGATGATACAGCATTATTTCAACTGACTGACTTGCTAAATCCTGCCTTTTGTTGTCTAGACCTACCGTTGGCGCTGTGTATTTAAAGTGGACATATGTCATTTCCCAGCCCTGTAGAGCGCCTTGTAACAAATGGCTATGTGCTTTTTGTGGGGGGGGGGGGGGCAGCGGGGTGGTGGCTGGAATACAGGTCTCTTCTCTGAGGTTGTTCGCATCTTTTCTCAGGAACGCTTGGCTTCATTTAAGTAGCCTGTCACCTGGCTTTTGTCCCTTCCCTGTGTGACTGTTTGTACTCCCAGCAGCATGGCTTCTATAGCCATGTCTTTCAGGTGCCATCTATTATCACTTTATGGATTTTGTGCATGGCTGTCAGGTCATCACTCTTAAATTTCCCGTCTCTTTATCTTTAAATCAGACAGGGTTGGGCTTGTGGTTAGAAAGTTTGTACTTTGTGTGTTTTGGGTTCTTGGCTGCTGTTTTGAGTGTCGTGGGCCAAGGAACTCAAGTGTCCCTCTCTCCACGGAGTCTCTGGTTCCTTGTGGGCTTGTCTGTGTCTCTTGCAGAGTTCTCTTGCCTTCAAGCATGTTGTCAAATCTAAGGACCAGCATCAGCTAGTGTATCCTTGTAATGCTAGGAAGCTTTTTAACACAGTTAAGCTTGGTGGATTTGTAGGAAGGAAATGTTCCCACATAATCTGTGTGAGTCTTATCAGAGAAGAAAACCCTTTTTAGCCTAACTTTTTATTTATGTCCTTATTTAGCTTCATCATAATTTATTGCCATTTTTCTAATTTTTCCAGTTATTTTGTATTTCCTATATTAGCATGTACGGCAGTGTATTAATATTCAACTTTGTGTGGGTTACCTAAAAGTTAGCTTATGCTTAAACTGTGAGAAGTTTTATACTTTTCTAAGATTTTACGTAGATTGACTTTACTTAGGATATCCTGGACCTCATCTTACTAATGCACTCTATGCATTAAATGTAAAGTCGAGAAGGCTGTTCATCAAACATTTAGAACATTCAGAAATGTGTTTCCCAGGAGAGACCATGAAGTATTTATAGCATGTAACTCTGGTGATGACTTGAGTCACGATGTTTCCATTTGAGTGAGCGTGGTCAGATTTGCTAACATAATTGATGCCTAATAATGACAGGGAAGCAGTACTGCCACTTACGTAGTCTTCTGAGTGCCAGCCCCTACCGGAGGCCCATTACAGACAAGTTCTAATTCATTTGCCACCATTGCCCTTTAGAGCAGGTCAGTAGATACCATCCTCATTTCAAAGAGAAGAGAACTTAAGGCGAGAGCAGACAACTGACTTACCACTCAGGGCGTCAGAGCTTGGGTCTCATGCAGGGCTCTGCCTGCCAGCCTCCTGCTTCTCACTTTTGCTGTCGCCTGCCCCTCATGATCACTCCCCTGCCTCCTCCCGGGACACCGGGACATGGAGTGATGATGTCCTCTTTGGTGTGAAAATCATGACAGTAGATTCCTTGTGTCAAGTAAGGGTGTTCCCTGTCTTGCTAATAATATCTGTTGCAGTATTCTGTTATGAAACATTAGCAGGAGCCCTCATAACAGCTGTGGTCAGGGGGTTAAGCGTCCAGGTGCCATGATGAGCAATGAGCGGTGTGTGGAGGTGTTGAATCCCTGTACTGTACACCTGAGGGTGATAGGACACTGAGCATTACTTATATAAGAATTTTTTAAAAAGCAGCTGATACGATCCTTCCTCAAACATCTTTCCTGTTGATGTAATCAGAGGATTGTTTACTAGATGCTTGCAGTTTGCCAAGGAACACTGCAGTCCTAGATGTGAAGGTAGGGTAAGCTTAGGGTAAGCTTGGCCTGGAGTACATAAGTATATCAAGAGTCGGCCGCATCATTGATTTTATGAATTTTTTTAAGCTTTTGGAAAGACTCACATTTGCAATTTTTTCTTTCCTTTTCTATAGTTGTGTTTGATATTTACCTTGTGTGCTGCTCTTTGGGTAAGTGACGTCAGCGGTGCCTGCTTTCTACTAACGGTGGCCCATCCCCGGTGTCACATGCCATCCCAAAGGAGCTCAAAGTCTGGCTTCTTAAAACCCCCAAAGGTCAGGTGTTCCTAAGATTGTGTGTGTGAACATCAAGTTAGTGTCTAGGCTTGTGATAGACTCTGCCATTTGGAACAGAGAGGTAAGTTCTTACTCGCTCTCAGGGTGGACTGAGCTGCCCCTCTCACGGCCCCCTCCTACCTCCCAGGCTCCAAGAGGCTCCTGCAGCTCCAAGAGGCTCCTGCAGCAGCTCTGCTTCCTCTGTCTGCTTTGCTGTCCCCTCAGGCAATGGGAGAATCACAGGATGTTGAAACTAATAAGGAGAAAGGGCAAGAAAACAAAGCAAAACAAATTAACCAAAAGAGGCAAACGGGGCTGCTTGGCTTGCTCAGTTGGAAGACCGGGCATTTGGATCTCAAAGTCGGAGTTGGAGCTCCATGCTGGGTGTAGAGCTTACTTGCTTTAATTGTAAAAAAGATGTAAAATCACTAAAAAAAAGGGGAAGAGAAATTAATTTTGTACGTCTTCTGTGAGGGTGAATGGCTCATTCGCCTACCGGAAACTATAATATTGCAGTTCAGCTCACTTTTCGGGACTCCTGAGTCTTTAGTATATGTGTTTATTGCACCATCTGCTTCCAAAGGGATGTGAGCTATCAAGAAAACTGCACTCTTAGAAAAAGGAAGAGTAGTACATAATATGTTTTAGAAATACTCTATCAAAAAAGTTCCAGTCTTTTTAATTTTGATCATGTAAGGATTGAGCTTTAATTATGTGACCGGTCTTAAACCTAATTTCCCACTGATAACTTAAAAAGAATATTCTTGGGATCCCTGGGTGGCGCAGCGGTTTAGCGCCTGCCTTTGGCCCAGGGCGCGATCCTGGAGACCTGGGATCGAATCCCACGTCAGGCTCCCGGGGCATGGAGCCTGCTTCTCCCTCTGCCTGTGTCTCTGCCTCTCTCTCTCTCTCTCTCTCTGACTATCATAAATAAATAAAATTAAAAAAAAAAGATTTGAAAACTATCTCATAAAAGGTAACTTTAATACCCCAAAAGTATAAGGACTGTACTCTCAGAATAGTTTAAAAAAAAAAAAAAAAAAGAATATTCTTAAACAGTACCTGTATGTTTGTGTGGAATATTGATTTCTGGTGCTGGGATGGTCTAACCACCTATTTATTTGTAGGTAGTAGACTAAAAATGATAAAGGAAGTGAACAAATATAAATAAACATGGACAAGGAATCCTGAAAATAGCCCATTTTAACAGGAACTGTTCATTTTACATTATCCTAGAAGATCACAATAGAAATAGTTTTCCTTCAAAACCTAACTCAAGGAGCAAGAGAGAAGGAGTGAGTGGAGTCCCACAGAGGACAGACAGGGACAGCTGAGTGTGGTTTGAGTGTTGAGTGCAGCAGAGAGGATGTGGACTTGGACATGAGACTGTAGGAGCATGGCTCTATATCTTGGGACCACCAAGCCAATGCCGTACATGGAGCAGTGTTTCAGTTAAACTTCAGATCTACTGAATCTTGAATCTGTCATACTTAAAGTAAATGAAACCATTGTCCATGTTTGGAAGGGAAAAAAATGGAACTTGTGAAAAACATTTTTAAAAATTCTTAACTTGTTATTTCTGTTTTTGCTGTTGTCAGTGGCACAAGAAGGGACTGGCCTTATTATTCTGCATATTGCAGTTCTTGTCCATGACCTGGTAAGTCTCACATTGATGAGAAGGTTAAAATTCCCTCAGCAGTGATAAGTGTGTTGTTTGCAGCCTGGGAACAACGTTAGGCTTCTGCGTGATGAAGACTGCCCTGGAGGGGGCCGGGCCTCCTGGGAGGTCAGAGGAGTGAGATCTGCAGTGTGTCCCGTGAGACTGGCACATAGCTCCGTGGTGACCAGAGGGAGGGCTCGGGGAGGTAGGGGTTATGGCAGTGGGAGGTGCTGTGCCAGCTCAGTGACACACTTCCTGCTTTCTTGGTACGTGAAAGAGAAATGACGAGAAATATAGGTGATACCCCGTGAAGCCATAAAAGTGAGGCAATATCACAGGGGAAGCCCCAGAGAATGTTGGTTTGCTATTCCCTTTGTACTGTATTGCTGGATAATTACAGAGTAGAATTCTTTCTGCTGCGTGTGGCCCTGTGATATCTGGCGCTGCCTCATCTGAATCATCAGTGAATGTGGTTCACTGTTCAACACCTCGGGGATTAGGGGCACTAGCCCCCACCTAGTCGAACACCTGTGTATATCCTTGGACTGCCCCAAAACTCACCTCCTAAAGGCCTGCTGTTGACCAGAAGCCCGACTACTTACATAAACAGCTGATCGATACGTCGTATATACTGTATTCTTACAATAGTACCCATTTCTTAATTCTTTTTGGTATTCCTAGGCCAAGGGGTTCATTTGTGAATTTTTTCAAATTGTCACAGATCTCCAGCAAAAAACCTCCCAAAGTATTTATTAAAAAAAATCCACGTTTAAGTGGACCAGAGAAAGTCAAAGCCCTGTTGTGCCAGAGTCAGCCGCTTGTGGATGTAAATAGCTCCCCTGTCCCTCCCTCTGCCTCACTTCCCCTGTCCCTCCTTCCCAATATTCCCTGACCACGTGCTCCCCTCCAGGAAGCCCTTTCCTGCTGTGGACTGCATCTAGTTCAGCTGCGAGAAAGACCCAGTGGGCATCGGATTGGATTAGATGAGCTCCACTTCCCACACTTCCTTGTTTTTGCACATGCAATATTTTCAGGGGTGTTTCCTTTTCTCTTCAGAGCTACAGTTGCTTTGCTCCCTCTAAGACCCAGTCCCCACCCCCCCTACCCCCCAATCCATTGTCTCTGGCGTGGCCCGTCCAGAGATCAGCCTTTGCCTTGGCCCTGGCTCTCTATCCACTGATGGCTGGAACACTGCTGGGTGCTGCGTGCGCTCCTCTGCGTGTTGTTTGGCTCTGTGTCAGTGACCTGTGGGGCGATTAGAATCAAATTCCTTGGCTTTTTTCTATAATATGTTGCTTTTTCTATTGCATCATCTGTACTTAATGATTGGCTTACCTGCTAAAAGAGAATGCAATTTATTCTCAGTTACTTTACAATTTTTTTTTTTTTTTTTTTTTTTACTTTACAATTTTTATTTAAAAAACCCAAAGGGTCATTTCTAGTATCCCTAGCCTAGACTTCATCACATGTCAGGGGCACATAAAGAGTTTGTAAAACACAGAGTTTCTTGGTCAGGAAGTAGGGGGTGGGGCACAGTCATCTGCATTTTTAACCAATTCCTGGCTGATACTGTTATTACTGGTCTGGGGCCTTATTTTGAGGATTACTGTACAATATCGTGCAGCTGTATTTTCTGTGGTGTTCATGGAAGGCCACTTGGCATACGGACAAACAGTATTTAGATGGTCTCAATATCTTTGAACTTTTCTTGCAGGTACAGCCTGTCATATATCCCATATGCAAGGTGAGACTCTTGTTTCCAGTCCTCTAATCATCTTTACACAACTACATGAATTTTAGCATATGCAAATTAAAATGTGATATAAAAGGCTGTTCTTTGAGGACTTTTTCTTCCCCCAAAGAAATTATTTTTTACATAAGATGAGTAGGAGTCTGCCAATATAAAGTGAAGCCATTTTGAACGTATGTAAGCAGTTAGGTTGGGAGCATACTTCTGCTTTTACCACCTGGATGTTTGCAGTTAAGAAATTTTGACAGGAGATTCCTGATCCTTCCATGACTGCAAATATTCAGGAAATGGGATGTAGAGAAGCCAGCAAAAGAAGTTCTACATTAAAGAAAAAACAAGTTAGTGAAAATGTGACATGTAATACATAAGTGTTACTTTGAAGCCAGTAGAAACATGTTTATTTTCTATGTCAAGAGTAAATGCCAGGGATCCCTGGGTGGCGCAGCAGTTTAGCGCCTGCCTTTGGCCCAGGGCGCGATCCTGGAGACCCGGGATCGAGTCCCACGTCGGGCTCCCGGCGCATGGAGCCTGCTTCTCCCTCTGCCTGTGTCTCTGCCTCTCCCTCTCTCTCTCTCTCTCTGTGACTATCATAAATAAATAAAAAATAAAAAAAATTAAAAAAAATAAAATACTAATAAAAAAAAAAGAGTAAATGCCATTTTTATTTTTATTTTTTTTGAGAAATGCACTAATTTAGCTGTGGAGGGAAAACCAAAACTAGTTGTAATCTTAAACCAGTTCAGACGAGTACTCTGTTAGGCACAGCTTTGCTTCTTTGTGAAGTCTGGAAACATAGCTTATGTATGAAACACAGCAAATTTGTATGCCTAATGTGAACAGTGAAGGAAATTGTAGAAATCCTATTTTAATTCCACTTCAAATGAATGGTTCTTTTTTGACAAGTGCTAATGAGCATGAAAGCAGACCAGGGTCACCTGCAGGTGGGCAGGCCGTAGAATAAGAGAGCTACAGGTAATCGGCCAGTCCTCAGGACCTTAGTAGGGAGGTCTCGTGCCGTTTCTCAGCACCTTGAAATGATGTCCAGCCCCATAAGCCTGAGCTCGAAGCCATGCCCATCCCCTGCCTTTGAGGGTGGCGCCAGGGATATGCTCAGATGCTCCAGTTCATTGGTGCATGCTTCTGACAATCCACATACAAACAGTAACTTTAAATGCACAACAATGTTATGTAATAGTTTAAACTGTCTTGTGGAGAAAATGAAAGGCGAAGGAAGTCACGTGAATATTTCTTTGGAATTCTGAGAATGTTATAAACATTTAGTTTTTTGTTTTTTATTTTTTTAAAGATTTTATTTATTTATGCATGAGATACAGAGACTGGCAGAGACATAGGCAGCAGGAGAAGCAGGATCCTTGCAGGGAGCCCAATGTGAGACTCAATCCCATACTCCGGGATCATGCCCTGAGCCAAAGGCAGATGCTCAACCACTGAGCCACCCAGGCATCCCAACATTTTGTGTTTTTTTAACTATTTTTTTTGAAGATTTTATTTCCAGAACAATTTCTCTTTATTCATGAGAGACACAGAGAGAGGGAGAGAGGCAGAGACACAGGCAGAGGGAGAAGCAGGCTCCATGCAGAGAGCCCGTTGGTGGGACTCCATCCTGGGTCTCCAGGATTAGGGCCTGGGCTGGAGGCGGTGCTAAACTGCTGAGCCACTGGGCTGCCGCATTTTGTTTTTAAAAATCCAATTACAGGGATCCCTGGGTGGCGCAGCGGTTTGGCGCCTGCCTTTGGCCCAGAGCGCGATCCTGGAGACCCTGGATCGAATCCCACATCGGGCTCCCCGTGCATGGAGCCTGCTTCTCCCTCTGCCTATGTCTCTGCCTCTCTCTCTTTCTCTCTCTCTGACTATCATAAATAAATAAAAATTAAAAAAATAAAAAAATAAAAAAAATAAATAAAAATCCAATTACTTTTTTTTTTTTTACAATTCTTTCGTTAGGTTATTTTTGGTATTTACATTTCTTTCTCAAGATTAGCATACATACTAGAAAAGATTTCTTAAATGCCATTTCAGGCATTAAAACCTGATTTCCAAATCTCAGTTCTTGATTTCAAGTGATAGCAGAGTTTCCTTAGGGAGTGTTTTGGTGATTGCATCTGAGTTCTGACATAAACAAGTGATCATGCATTTGTCTCTTGGCAGGCAGCAGTGTTTCCTCTGGCATTACTGTATATGAGGCAGATTATTACATTGTTTTTTCTCCTTTTTTTCCCCCCACCAGGGATGCAGTAATTAAATGCTGTTCTTCTCTCTTAAATTGAAAATCAGAAACTTTGAAAAGAGCATTGGAACTTCAGCGTTCTGTTTTTTGTGAAATATGGTTTTCCTGATGTAATAATCACTCCCCAAACAACTGCTGTGACAGGTTAAGACCATTTTGTGTACTGGTGGAAACTACATGTTTGATTAAACTGTTAAATACTTGTAACATGAAATTCATTATGTGTCATTAACGTGTTCTTCCCCAAAATAAGGAGTTTTTAATCATTGCCAACTGTAAATGATTGTTTTTTAACCTTTTCTAAACAGCATTTAAGATGTGAATATTTAAGGATAAATCTATGCTGCAGGCTTTTTTGGCTCTTTAAAAATGTCAAGTTTTACTTTTTTTAAAAAAAACTTTAAATGTGAAAGTTTTTACTTTAAGCTAAAAAATTGCTTATTATATGTAATAAATAATATATAAATCTTTACAATTTTGAAATAAACCCACACTTGGAAAAATAAGATTTGCTGGGTCAAATTTATAATGTGTTTGGTGAGTGGCACATTTAGTCCTGGCAGTATGCAGTTTTTCTGTAGAAAAATGGGTAAGATACAGTCTTTGTCCTAAAGCTCACATGTTTCCTAAAGGACACATTTGCAAAAGATCATAGGAGTATCACGGTGAAAGCACTTAGAAGGGTGTCATTCAGAGTGTAGACCCAAAAAAATAGCAGGAACAGGGGTGGGACGCGGGGAACTGGCTCTAGAGGTAGGCCCCGATGGGCCAAATCAGGTAGATGAGGGTAGGTGAGTGTCACCCCTGCGCTGGAGGAGTGGTGGGGAGGAGGTGCCTGGCAGGGTAGCCCAGCCCCCCTCCTGCTCTCAGGTCCCCCAACACCGTGGGCTGGCCCTGGTCAGATCTGCAGCGAACAGCACTGTGCTCTGCTGGGACAGGACCACCACAGCCCCGTGGTGCAGGGAAGGTGCCCCTGCTTGGCCATGCTGTCGTAGCATTGATAAAGAAGTGGGCTCAGGGCAGGTAATGGAGAATTCGTTCTTCAGTGGCTGTGCAGAGCGGCCGGCCTGGAGACGAGGTTGCTTGAACAGGGTGCATCAGAATCTCAGCATCCTGAGGAGCTGGGGAAAGGTGGGGGTGGGGTGCTGGAGAGCCAAGGCAGGCCCAGGCCTAACCCCTGCAGGGCGGTGGGAGTGAGGATGGGCACACCACGCCGGGGGCAGTGAGAGGTCCCAGCGTCACACCTGCCCCCGCCCCCGCCCTGGAGGGGTCACGACCTGACCATGGCTGCAGAGCCCTGGGGTGTCCTGGGGGAGTGGAGAGGGCAGCTCCCTGCACTGCAGGCAGAGGCAGTGTGCACAGCAGCTGGCGAGAGGGGGAGGCCAAGCAGGCCATGAGGACATGGGGCGAACCACTAGGGAAACCATGTGCAGGGGACGCGCCGAGGGGCTGCAGCGTGACCTGGAAGTCGTGTGGAGCTTGACAAAGGTTATCTTAGATGTGCGTACATGAGCATAGCCGGGGATGGTGTCCTCCAGGTGGGCCGAATGCCTGTCCCAAGTGGCAGGCGGTGAGGCCGAGGCCTGTGTGAGGGGCTTGTCTTCACCTGGAGGCCAGGCCCCGACTGGCTGCCTCCTCAGCCTTCGTTTTGTTCCATGTTTGTCATCACACCTCAGGCCTGGCCCTGAGGTCAAGGAGCATGGGGTCTTCCTGAGTGAGGTCCCTTCGCTTTCTCTGCTCCCCATAGACTTTGTTTTCTGAAGCGGACTGGTGTTACTTGCCTACCCCCATCCCGCATCCTGTCTGCACAGGGGTCAGCGGGACTACAGTGAGGTCCTCTCAGGGTCAGAGAGTGGGGTCCATCCGGTGGCCTGCTGGGCCAGCGCCACCATGCGAGCCCTGAGCAGGAGCCGGCCAGGGACCCGGCCTGACAGCTTAGCAGGGACAGATGGACGCAGTAGAGCCGTGCTCTCACTGGGAGCACGCTGCCTCTCCAGCAGTGCCAGGCATCCCAGGGCCAAGAGCAGAGCCTCGGTCAAGGTGTTTCCCTGCTGCGGGGGTGGAGGTGCAGCCCTGGGACAGAGGAGAAAGCCATCACATCCGCGAAGATGGCGCATAGGAGCCCTGAGACAGGCCAGGCCTTGCCTGCGGCTCTCTGCTTCCCAGGTGGCCCTCCATCCCAGCCCAGGTGTCAGCAGTGGCAAGTGTTCTCGGGCCGGGGCCTTGGGTTGGGGGGGGTGCGGTTTGGAGAGATCTGAGGACTGGTGAGCTTGTGTTCTGTGCCTGGCGTGGTGTGTGTGCACCTGGTTAGGTTTCCCACTTGCCCAACCCATTATGCCCACAGATGATGAGCAGGGAGCTCGTCTCTTGAGGGGAGCAGCCTGGCCCTAACCATCCCCCTCAGCAGGGGCAGGAGGGACATCATGGTGGGCTTCAGAGCCTGTGGAAGTGAGTGGGAATGGGTCAGCCAGGGGCACGTGCCAGGCCCCGGCTGGGGTGTGGAAGTTCCAGGGGAGTCTCACCAATCACATGAGAGAGTTCAGGTCACACTGGTTCCTGCCCACTTATGTCCTCAGGAGGGGGTCTGTGGGAGAGGTCCTGCCCGTCGGGGGTCCTTCCTTAGCAGGACCATCCTGGTCTGCCCCTACCCGACCCCCTGTCTTGTTACTGTGCACATCACCACCTGTCTCCTGGTCACCCCGGCCAGGACTGTTGGCAGCGTGGTCACCAGATAGAGCTTGGGGGGGGCTCCGCGTCGGTCTCACCATCACGCTCAGGCGAGGTCCTTACCCCTGTAAGCTCCCACTTTCTCTCTGAAGAAAAAGCGTAAAAAATGAGGTTCTGCTCTGCTCTGGGAGGTGGGGGAGGGGGAGGAGTGAAGGGAGGTGTGCCTGGTGCCAGCCACTGTCCCTGGACCAAGCAGAGGCCCCGGGCATCTGTTTGGACGGCTGCTGCTTCACACGGCTCTGCAAGACCTTGGGCACGCTGACGCCCCGCCGTAGTGCCCCCAGAGTCGGGGTGCGAGCCAGGGTTCGTCTGTGAGCCGCCCCCGGAGGCCGGTGGGAGGCTGGTGGGAGGGACAGGGCCTCAGGATCGCCTCCTGGGTCTGGCAGTGGCAGGTGTACCCAGAACTGCGCATCTGGAGGTAATGACAGTGACCAGGGGGATCTTTGGGGATCTTGGGAAAGGGCTATCCCCAGAGGTCGTGGCAAAGGCACACAGTTCATTCTATTCGTGCCTTTAAACGCTAAGTCGCCTCTTGACATATCAGCCCGCCGTGAGACGTTGGGGGGTCATTTATCATGACGCTGCTTTCACAGAGCTGCTGTGAAGTGGGGGCTGCATTTTCAGGGCTCCACTGAATACGGGCTCCCCGCCCGAGCACCTGTGGGGTGTCTGTGCCACCTATGCCGTCCACATGGGCCACCTCGCTCTTAGGGGCCCCAGGCCAGGACAGCTAACCTCACTGGAGGGCAAGATGCTTCTGCAAGGTGAGGGAGCCACGCTGCGGCCACTCGCCGGACAGGGGCTCAGCATCTGTGTGTCGTGTATCATGGGGTCAGGTACCCCCACTGCAGGGAACGGGGTGTCATGGGGGTTCACCAGCTGAACTCACTGTGGCTGCCACAGGCCGCCTCGGGCCCGCGTGAGGTGGCTGGGTGCGCCGCTGGCATCTGGGCAGTGGGGGTCAGGGCCGGGCGACAGCTTGGGTGCCTGACACCCTGCCCTGGGCCTCACTTCCACAAGCGTCCCCTAGCACGTGGGCTCCCTGCCGCGTGGGAGATGCTGAGTCCACCTCACATACCGAAGTCTGAGCTTTGGGAGGAAAAGGTATACTATAAACTTAAGGCATAGCATTTAAAAAATTTTTATTTTATTCATGAGAGACACAGAGAGAAAGAGAGAGGCAGAGACAGGCAGAGGGAGAAGCAGGCTCCCTACAGGGAGCCCGACGCGGGACTTGATCCCGGGTCTCTTCGCTCTGGGCGGAAGGCGGCACTAAACCGCTGAGCCACCCAGGCTGCCCCGGAGAGTGCCTGGCGCCCTGCACCCAGTGTGTGCTAGCCAGCCCATCCCCGCCTCCCACTGACCTTATGCAGCACCCTAGGAGCTCAGAGGGGGAGGGAACCCCATTGCTGACACTACTGCACATTTGAATGGCTGGGGTCTGTACGTACTCAAGTCTCAAGGCATCCCCCTGGGGTCAGTTTCCCGCAGTAGTTTACCTCTAGGGCTGGGTGACAGGTGTAGTGTGTGCTGGCTTCCCCTCCTAGCCCTCCTCAGCAGGAAACTGCCCACCTGCTGCCACCGCTGCCACACCCAGCCCCACACCCACCGGAAGCACAGTAATTTGAAAATGCACATGTGCTTTCAGTACCCACGGCAGAGATTCTATGAGCTGAACTGTCTCAGACATCTTTGCACCTGAGCTGTGGGCAGTGACAGGCCACTTTGCGGCCCTCAAGGGAAGAGAAGAGTGAGAGAGTGACCGCTGGGACACTTGTCTTGAAGTGTTTTTGCACATTTTATGGAGAATGTGTATGTAGATGTGGGGTGGGTTTGGGTGCTGGTGGAGATTATGGGACCTAATCCTGCCTCTGCCCCCAGCTGTGGTGAGACATGCTTCTGGCCACCTATCAAGTTCTGATCTCCCTGGTACCCTGAGCCAGCAACCACCTCCACTGGAATATGTGGGAGCAGGAGGGGAGAGTGGCCTGCGCCCTCCTCACACTGGGAGGTGCCGCAGCTGGGGGTGGGAGGGGGCGGGTGCTGTTGGCACAGGGCGCATTGGAGTTCACCCACACATGGATGGAGGCTTTAGCTAACTGGGGACCATAACCAGTACAACCTGGTCATGTTTGGGTTAGGCCTGAAAAGCATGTGTTATGTATGGAAAACTATTTCTTGGGGGATCTAAACAATTTGATAATTCTCAAGTAATGCAGGAGCTTCCTTTATGAAACTTAAAAAAAAAAAAAGACTTTATTTATTCATTCATGAGACATAAAGGCAGAGACACCGGCAGAGGGAGAAGCAGGTTCCCTGCTGGGAGCCTGATGCTGAACTGGATCCCAGGACCCCGGGACCACGACCTGAGCCAAAGGCTGAGCCACCAGGCACCGGAAACTGACTTGATGCACTGCTGTGTAACCCTTCAGCTACTCACCTGCGGAGCACAGGGATGTTTTTGCGTCTCTACAACTGGAATAGAAGTTGACAGTGAAGATGCTTCATTCTTTCTGAACCCCTCGTTGGAGCAGTAAATACACTGCTTTGCTCTCAGTGATCCCCCATGACAAGAACTCAATGTGTCCTATCTCCTGTCCTTATCATGATATAATTGAAACTGGACAATTTTTTTTTACCTATACATAAAACTAGGTCTTTAATCTCAGATGACTCTCTCCGCGGTGGCGTTAACATGACAAACAGCGGCTTGATTACCAGGGTCCCCTGACACCGGGCGGTCCCGGACCAGTCCCCAGGCCCCCGCCGTCCCCAGCTCCCAGTCCCCGGTCCCCGGTCCCCGCCCTCCGCCCGGGCTTCCCACCATCCTAAGGGCACCGGGCGGGTGTCAAGGACTTTCCCTCCCACGGGCGAGGACCCGCCTCGGGCTCAGGACACCCCCGGCCCTCCCGGGCCTCTCCCCGCCCCCCCGGATGAAAACCGGCCCCGAGGCGGGCGGCGGGCGGCGGGAGGCGGGCAGAGTCCGCGGCCGCCCCGCCCCGCCCCGCGCGGTCGGGCTCCGGGTGTGGTCGCAGCAACAGCCGCCGCGACACCCGCCGGGACACCCGCGGCCGCGCGCTCCTCCTCCCGCGGGCGCGTCCCGCTCCGCCCGGGGGTGCTGCTGGCCGGGGCGGGGGCGGGGGCCGGGGCGGGGGCGGGGGCGGGGGCGGGGGCGGGGCGGGGGCGGGGCGGGGGCGGGGCGGGGGCGCCCACTGACCGCCGCGCGAGTCCGTCCAGCGCGCCGTGAGCCTCGGGCGGCCCCATGCCTCTCCCGCCCGTGCCGCCCGCCCCCGCGCCCCCCGCCGCGCGCCCCCCGTCGCGGAGGCCGCCCCGCGCCCCGCCCGCGCCCGCGCCCCCGCCCGCGCCCGCCGCCCGGAGGAGGCCCCCCGAGGCGCCGCGGTCCAGCTCCTGGCCCTCCAGCAGCCTGGGGCGGCCGCCCGCCCGCCGCGCGCCCCCCGGCTCCGCGGGAGCCCCCGCGCCCGCCGCCCTGCGCCTCCCGCTGAGCCTGACCCCCGAGGCCGTCCTGCTGCTCCAGGGGCGCCACCTGCAGAAGCCGCTGCTGGCGCCGCCCGCCCGCCCGCGGCCCCCGCCCCCGCCCTCGCCCGCGGCCCCCGCCCCCGCCCCGGCCCGGCGCCCGCCCGGCCCCCGGCCCCGCGCGCCCCCCGGCCCCCAACCCGGCCCCCAACGCGGCCCCGGCCCCCGCCCCCGCCGCCCGCAGGCCCCGCCGCCGCGCGCCGCGCTGCCCGTGTCCCTGCACAGGTACGACGACGTGGAGGACGAGGACGAGGCGGCCCCGCCGCGGGACGACGGCCTGGTCCGCAGGTGCACCGAGTGGCTGCGCGGCGTGGAGGCCGCCGCCCGGGCGCGCGACCGCGCGGGGCCCCTGGACGCGCTGCCGCACCTGAGCACGCTGTGAGCCCCGGGGCGGGGGCGGGGGCAGGACCAGCGCCCCTGCTGCCCGCCGCCCCCAGGGGCACCGCACACCCCACCTCCCGCCCCACCTCCCGCGCTCCGGGAGCCTGAGGGCCCGCCTGCGACCCAGGCTGCTGGGACCCCTGCACCCCCACCCGCAGACAGCACCCCCCTCTCCCTCCCCCCACTCCTCTGGGGCTCCCCCAACGACTTTGCCTCCTGTTCGCGCCCCGGGAGGCCTAAGGGCTCAGCTGTTGAGGACGAAGCCCCCCGGAGGTTCTGGGAGGTCCCAGGCACCCTCTGGCTCGCCGTTGTCCGTGTCACGGTGGGAGGGCGCTGGGCACCGGGTGCCCTGCTCTGAGCAGCAGGTGGCCGCCGCCAGGAGGGCAGCCACCGGGGTGGCTTGTCTGCTGCAGAACTGGACCCGGCGCTGCATTTATGATTTTGTTTCTCCGAAATGGAACACCTGTCGGGAGACTGGAAAGCTTGGCGATTCACGTGAACCTGACTCTCCAACTCCAAATGGGAAGCGTAGGACCTCCAGCTGTTGTCACTCCTCCGTCCACCTGGTGAGTGAGGCTGGAATGGCAGGGGCTCTGTGCCCACGGAGGACTCGTCGGGGCCTCTAACCCCGTGCAAGCCTGCGCACACCTGCCCACGCAGCCACAGGCGGGCTCGCTCAGGAACACTTCCACTCTGGCTCACACTCTCACTGATCGCTGCACTCACACACTGGCACACTCCCGCAGCCTCACACTCAGTGCTGTCACACACGCGCACACACACATGGACACATGTGCGTCTCCGTGGAGCTCGGCTGCAGGAATCGTTTTTAGAGGCTGGGCCAAGACGTGAGCAGGAGCAAGGGGTCAGCTTCTGCTAAAATTCACTGTTTTTATTTGAAGCGCTGCTCACGGAGTAACTTCTGTGCTCCAGAAAGAATGGCCAACCACAGGGACTTGGGGAAAACGCAAAAAGCTGTCTGCAGATGTAGAACAAAATGTTCCCGGCCAGAGGAGCAAGGGAGGAGGTGGGAATTGCTGGGCGGGTGTGGGGTAGCTGTGTATGTTTTCAGCATTTTTAATCACTGTGTAAAAATCAGTAACATGGTGGCTTCTCTCAGTTGTGTATAGTGATTTTAAAGAACAAAATTTCTACTCATTTGAATAGAGGGTAAAAACTCCTCGGCCTTCTAGGAGCCAGCCATACCTTTCCTGTTAAACTCCAGGCTGATCTCTTGATATTTCCTGCATGCATCTGATTATATTTAGTTGAGAAGGAAAAAAAAATGTCATCATCAGATAAGGCGGTCATAGAAGAGTAATGTATTCCCTCAACTTTGACTTACTTTGTAAAAGTCAGTAAGTAGCTGAATGTTCATCTTGTTGGACTTTGCTGTGGTAGGTCTTCATTACATTTTACTTTGAAACCTTACATTTTTAAAAAACCGATTTTTTATTTTCCTTGTGCTCTTTGCTCTAGTTCCTCTCTCTCTCTGTCTCTCTCTCTCTCTGTCTCAGCACAAATCTAGACAAACGTGGAGCATTTAATTCAGCAGGAGCTAGGTCAGCCACCAGATGAGTTGCCAAAACAAAACCCCTACCCACTGAATAGCTTGTGTTTTCTTGACTCCTGTTCGAATGCAAAGAAGAGCTCGGGTGTCCTTTATGTTAGAGGGGTGTATTGATAGCAGGCGGCCCAGCGCAGGTGCGATCTTGCGAGGTGACAGAGGTGACAGGTGAGGTGGAGGCGAGTCTGCGTGGATGCTGGCGGGAGGCAGAGCAGAGCGCTGGTTCTGGACGGGCCTGGCTCGGAGCGGACCGAAAGCTCAGCCGGGCAGGGCGGTAACGCGCTCCGTGCACTCAGAGCAGCGACCAGCGGCCACCGAGAGGCACCGAGCCTCTGCTCCTTCCAGTAACATTGTAAAGACCGTCCTAAAGTAATCGACTTTTCCAGACCTCTTTCTGTGCCTGCCCGTGTGTGTGTGTGTGTGTGTGTGTGTGTGTGTGTGTGTGTCCCTGGTCCCGTTGCTGTCACAGTGCGTGGGTCTGTGTGTCCTTGTCACTTCTTGGTCTCCTTCTCACCGTCCCCATCTGTCTTAACTGGGTTCCCTGGGACACTGAGCTCTTTTTTCTCCGATGGCATTTGTCGAACGGAGTTTTTGGTGCCTTGTTCCTCACTGTCAAAGCAGATGAGTGGAATGTTTATGTTGCTCGGGTGGATGACCCTCAATAAAAACAAAAAGGTTCTACGCACGACACACGAGGTCTCTTCGTGTTGTTGCTGACATTTTGAGAGTTTTCTCTGAGTCACTGCGCTGCAGCTTCTTCATGTTGAAATAAAAGAGAAAAATTCAATGCCTCTTGTTTTCTTTTGGAGGGAGATTTTTAAAACTGTTCAGGAAAGATTCCTGAGGTTTTTGGAGTTGGAGTGAGGTGGTCCCCTGTGTGGCTGCCCCACCCAAGGGCCTGGATCCAGGGCTTGGCAGAGGTTCATTGGCTGTAGTTCCTACCAGCAATGACTGAGATTTTAAGAATTCTAATGATGGTCAAATATTATTGTAATAAAGCTGCTTGGCAGTGATTCCTAACCTTGCTTCAGGTCACAAGCCCCGTGCAAGCTCTATTCCAAATAGGTTCCCAAGACGTACCACATGACAACAAAAATCTGCGTGTACATAAGGAGGCCCACGGGCCCCAGACTGAGAACCCCTATGCACACCTGCTGGGCCACTTCTTATTTGCTGGAAGTAATTTCACACTGGTAGGTCACACGAACCAGAAGTTGAAGTGTCAGTTTCAAAGACAGCGAGGACTATTTGATTTCTAAAAAGGGTGATATCACCTAATAAATGTGGTTTGTCTTTAGAATATTTGGGGACACAGAGAAAAAAGTACTAAAAGTTATCTATCCATGGAAGTAAGACAGTTGGGAACGTGTTCTCTGTAGAAGTTGTGGTATTATTAGCAAATTCCCCCATCACCACTCTGCCCGGAGGCTAAGCCTTCTGTGTTGTGGGGGAGACCAAGCATATATGACCTAAGTCCATATACGTAGCGAATACCCTAGCTCTTCAAGATAGATTTTTACATTGATCTTTATTTCTGGAAAAAGGAGATGGCAAAAATCAAAACCTTTAGTTTTGTGGTTCCCCTAGAAAGTACCCAATTCCACTGGTTGAATAATCTGTGGGATCTGCTTATATTTAACTTATTCTGAAACTATATGTTCGTACCTGTATTTTTTAGCTTGGAAATTTCAGCCAAGGTTAGTCCTGAACGATGTCTCTGCAGAATAAGCAAGAAGAGCAATTGCCAGTAATGCACGCACATGTCTTTGTAACCTGTGGGGAGATTGGGGTGGCCCAGTTCAGATCATTGTCCCCTTGTCTGGTTAAGACTGCTGCTCCCAGGCATCCCTGGGTGGCGCAGCGGTTTGGTGCCTGCCTTTGGCCCAGGGCGCGATCCTGGAGACCCGGGATCGAATCCCACGTCGGGCTCCCGGTGCATGGAGCCTGCTACTCCCTCTGCCTATGTCTCTGCCTCTCTCTCTCTCTCTCTCTGTGTGACTATCATAGATAAAAAAAAAATTAAAATAAAGACTGCTGCTCCCAGATGAATGGATAAAGAAGATGTGGTTTATGTATACAATGGAATATTACTCAGCCATTAGAAACGACAAATACCCACCATTTGCTTCGACGTGGATGGAACTGGAGGGTATTATGCTGAGTGAAGTAAGTCATTTGGAGGACAAACATTATATGGTCTCATTCATTTGGGGAATATAAAAATAGTGAAAGGGAATAAAGGGGAAAGGAGAGAAAATGAGTGGGAAATATCAGAAAGGGAGACAGAACATGAAAGACTCCTAACTCTGGGAAACGAACTAGGGGTGGTGGAAGGGGAGGTGGGCGGGGGGTGGGGGTGAATGGGTGACGGGCACTGAGGGGGGCACTTGATGGGATGAGCACTGGGTGTTATTCTATATTTTGGTAAATTGAACACCAATAAAAAATTAATTTATGTTAAAAAAAAAGACTGCTGCTCCCGTGGTCCGGGATGTAGCCTCATTCCCAAATTAGACTGAGTACCTGCCCAGTATGTTCCAGGAGAGGGTCCCTCACCGTGGCTACAGGTCGAAGACAGAATTTTCATACTGACGCTGTCCTGTGTCAGTCAGCTGTGTCTCATTAAACTGCTTCATGTCCTCTTCCATATAATGAGGATAAGATGATATAGCAGATCCTGGGAAGGATTATGATGAGGTGCGTGTCAAGCATTTGGGACAGCACCTGCATGTCGCCCGCTCCAAGTCAGCTGTAATTATTGCTACCTAAAAAAAAAAAAAAAAAAAAATTCAAAAAAACAAAAAAACGCTCACTACTCATTATAAAACATTATTCTCTGGCACTTACTGTGCAAAATCAAGACCCATCTTGGCTGCAATATTCTGAGTTTTTTGTCCCCCCCTCACAGTTTCATGCATACCTGTGGTGAGGTCTAAAATTTTATTTCCCCGAGGAGTTTAAACATAAAAGTGTCTATTGTGCTTTCCCTTCTTATTTCAAAATTATTATTTATGCCCTGAATGTAAAATTTCCCTCTGAGCTGACAGCAAACACAAAATTAAAAATAAGTTCAACATCCTATAACGAGAACACTAACCCATTATAAGAGACAAATTTCTTCTTGGAGAAAATTATTTTTGTGTTATGTATAGATTTGTATACAATACAATGGACAGAATCCTTGAGTGCAGTTTTTGGATGATGCACAGATGTCCCTCGTATCAATATTTGTTCTTGATAAAAGCCAGTGGGAAAATATCCAGTTGCATCCTCTCCCTCATCGGATCGTCCAGTCTTGTGGATGTGGGTTATATAGGAACCTGCAAAAACGGTAGAGAATTTTTAGAAAGTAGTTTTAGATCACAGGCTGAAAACTCTAGAAAATCATATATGAATTCCTGGACTTTTTGGTCTCAAAGCCTCCTTTATACACTTAAAAGTTACTGAGGGAGGTCAAGATAACTTTTGTTTATGTGGATTATGTCTTCCAACAGTTCCTGCATTAGAAATAAAAACCAAGATCCTAAAATGGCCTGGGGACCCCCAAAATCTTAGGGCCGCACTGTGAGAAACACTGATTTTTACCATTTGTGTCAGTTGCTAGTGCCTGTCGTCTTTGTCATGGGGGCTACGTCTGACATAGTGGGGGAACATTTCAAGATACAGATGTTCCAGCCCCCTGACCTAGAGTCCCTAATTCAGGGGATCTGAGAAAGGCCGGCAGGAGCTGCTGCGCACCTGGGTTCGGGAACCAGTGTTCTTAAGCCAGAAATACAGGGAAGTCCTCGAGGGTCTTACAATTGGGTTTTGTCATAGAAGACCCCGAATGTCAATAACAGATTCTCCTTTTCTAGGGGCCAAACCGCTTTCCCGACTGCATGGTAGTCATGGCATGGAGAGTGTAACATGGTCACCGAAATAATGAAAGTTCTCACAGGTCAGTGTGGCCACTGGGCTCAGGGTGTTCATGGGGGCCATGGCACTGGCCGCGCTGGACGTCCCACTTGCTCCCACCTCCTATCCCAGAGTCCCTGCCGTCCCCCGATGACTGATGCTCCAGACCTTCCCTGATCCCACCTCTGTCATCATAATCACAAATGCTTCCCAGAGACATGCTTACAAAACGTATCGCATTCCACAGCTGTACCCCATGATGTTACCAGAGGCGTAGGGGTGTCCTGTGAGGACTGCAGACCTCCCAACTTAGGTATGAAAACCATCTCCAGGTGGTGTACGTTGCTCACTATTTCCTGATTTTACGTACTGACTCCAATAAACATTTACAGGATATTTTACTCTAAGCAGGATAGTATTACAGTAGGTCCAGAATAATTCATTAATCCATCAGCGCATCTCTACCCTGTTTCTACTCGACAAGGGGTACCTGGGATGCAAAACTAGGTAGGCGCCGTTCCCTGTAGAACTGAATGAATGAATGAATCCACCTGTTGAAAGGTGTCATTTAGGAGACTGCCTGCCAGGAGCAATCACTGGTCGGACCACACTTACCACTGAGCTGCTTTTTAGGACCACAGTGGGTCTGTGTCAGCCAGCTCAGGTTGCCGTAGACAGACAAGGGGCTCAGACAACAGATATTTATGTTCTCACAGATCCGGAGGCTCTAAGTCCAAAATCAATGTACTAGCAAATTCGGCATCTGGTGACAGCTCCCTTTGGGGCTGGTGCACAGCCGCGTCCTCAGTGTGTGCCCACATGGCCTGTCCTCTGTGCACAGGCAGGGAGGGCTCCGGAGTCCCCTCCTTTCTTACAAGGACACCAGTCCTACTGCATCAGGACCCACCCTGATCACTTCTCTACAGGCTTCAGCTCCAAATACAGTCATGCTGGGGGTTAGGGCTTCAACATGTGAATATTGGGGTGACATCATTCAGTCCGTAATATGGTCTATGATTTCCGGTGCTTTTGAAGATCCATTTATATGTTACAGCAGGATAGGATTATCAGCTCCCTCCTACCAAGGTGCACACGCGCGCACACACACACACACACACACACACACACACAACTTTGGGAAGCATGAAGATGTGAGAAAAGAAATTTTTACTGAAATCTGAAAAAAAAATAACTCATTCCACTTTTGTATTTCTATACGCAAGGACATGGAAGTGGAGAGATTTGCCCAGCTGGGCTATAACCTAACGTTTTAAAGATTTTCTTTGCCCTCCACCCCTCTTTTTTTCCTTGTTTGTGTTTGTTTCAGGGTTAACTCTTGCCCCGAAGTCCCTGGTGAGGTCTTCAGCCGTGGGAGCCTGCTGGTGGGAGGGGTGCACAGGGAGAGGCTTGGGTTGCACATGGACATGCGCCCAGACACATGCGCACACACACGCCGCTACAGAAGCAATTATGTGAAGCAGTTGCACTTGCAATGATGGGACTCAATTCTTTTTTTTTTTTTTTTTTTTAAAAAGAGCTACTTTCTTTTTTTTTTTTTAAATTTTTATTTATTTATGATAGTCACATAGAATGAGAGAAAGAGAGGCAGAGACACAGGCAGAGGGAGAAGCAGGCTCCATGCACCGGAAGCCCGATGTGGGATTCGATCCCGGGTCTCCAGGATCGCGCCCTGGGCCAAAGGCAGGCGCTAAACCGCTGCGCCACCCAGGGATCCCGGGACTCAATTCTAAGACACATTTCAGATCACATCCAACAGTGTGTCTAGGAGTGCTGAGCACCTACGAGTGGTCACCTTGAGAAATCCTGCATGGTTTCCCTTGGATGGTGCCGGATGTTTAACAGGAAACCTTGTCCGTTCCCCACATGCTCCCC